AATAATTATGCATGCATATCTATGTGTGCCATGCTACACACAGGGAAGTCAGAGGACATCAGTTTTGACCTGTCACCACGTGGGTCCTGAGGATTGAACTCAGGTTGTCAGGCTCAACAGCATAAGTTTCTACCCACTGAGCCTACTTTTCAAATTTTTATTTCTCTTTGTGTGTGTGTGTGTGTGTGTTTTCACACATGTGTGTAGGTACTAGCAAAGGCCAAAAGAGGCATCAGATCCCTTGGAGCTGGAGTAGTGAGCAACCCAACCCACAAGCACTAAGAGTTGTTTATATTCAAATGTTTGAAAAAAATTCATGACTCATGAAATTAGTATTTTGATGCCCGTAAAGCTTTGTTCAAAGAAGGGCATGTTCTTTTTTTTCATCCTGAGACAGTTACAAAGAATTAAGTGATTATGATAGTCATGGGTATGCAGAGCCTACAACAGTCATTTTAAATAAGTCTGTGACCCTGGTTTACATTGTCCTACGGTCCACTGTAACAAGGGGTATGTTCAGGCCCAGCCAATTGTTATTTGAAACTTACTAGTTTTCTGTCGCAGGGAAATTTTTATTAGGAAATGTATTTTTTTTTTTTTTTTCCGAGACAGGGTTTTTCTGTGTAGCTTTGGTGCCTGTCCTGGAACTCACTCTGTAGACCAGGCTGGCCTGGAAGTCACAGAGATCCACCTGGCTCTGCCTCCTGAGTGCTGGGATTAAAGGCGTTCACCACCACTGCCTGGCAGGAAATGTATTTTAATGGGCAGACCCCAGATCCCATTTGGAAGCAAGTCACCCTGAGAAGCTAACCTACCCGCACATTTTAAAAGGCTGCTTTTATTATGGACAGATTATTTACTAGGAGTTATTACTCTCCTGTCCAGTGGGTGGCAGGCAACTTGAGTTGTGGATGATGGGACTTCCGTGTCCCCTGCCTGTTAGACTTCGGAAGAGTGGGTGGGCATTTGGATGGGAGCCAGGAGCCAGACCCTGCCTTCGTGTAGATGAGATGAGAGGAAGCCAGGAGCCCCCCTGTGATGGGGACTCTATAGACTTTAGCTCTTTGGTTTCTCCTGTCTCCCCTTCACCTCTTGGTGCGTCTCCCACACCTGAGAGGTTAAACATTCAACCTCTAGACCCAAGCTGCAATGATTTGAGTTTCAACTTGTTTTTACAACTACTTTTGTAATCCAGGGCTTCCATAGGCCCTCTGAATCGATTCACCCACTGAAAGCTATTCCAAAGAGTCCTACTTGCTGAATGTATCATTTCACCCCCTAAAACATCTTCTATAAATTGTATGGCAATTTATATTGGGTATGTTCTAGGGTCCACAGAAATAGTGAGACTGTGGGATCCGTGTTTCCATGGACGTCTCCTTGCTTATTTCCCTTCTTTATTCCTCACATTGTTTTCTCCTAGCTTTCCCCACTCTGTCTTTGTGACCTTCCTCGATTGTTTTGAGACGGAATTTCTCTGTGGAGCCCAGGCTGTCTTGGAACTCGCTCTGTAGACCAGGCTGGCCTCTAATTCAAGAGATTCACCTGTTTCTGCCTCCTGAGTGCTGGCATTAAAGCTGTGGGCCACCACCGCTTGACTACAATTTTCCTTCGCCATGGTTTGAATTTCTTTTAGTAATTTGTCTGTTAATTGGCTACCCCTAGCTACATTACCTCTGGGCCTCAATTTCTTGGTGTATGAAGTAGACACAGTCAGAATGTGCATCTCCCAAAAGCAATACTAAATTGCTTAGAGGATGCCTGGGCTACGGCAAGCTCTATTTAAGTTAGTTATAACTCCAATATGGTTTGCTGTGCTTGGAATAACATGCAAAGCTCTGTCGTATAAGGAAGGTTATTTGATAGAAGTGACTTGGGGAGAAGGAGGGAGTCACTGTCTAGATCAGTGCTTCTCAGCCTTAAGGCTGCAACCCTTGAATACAGCTCATGATGTGGTGACCCCCAACCATAAATTTATTTTTGTTGCTACTTCATAACTGTAATTTTGCTGTTATGAATCATAATGTACATATCTGTGGTTTTTTTTCTTTTTTTTAAGATTTATTTATTTATTATGTATACAGTGTTCTGCCTGCATGTATCCCTGCAGGCCAGAAGAGGGCACCAGATCTCATTACAGATGGTTGGGAGCCACCATGTGGTTGCTGGGTATGTGAACTCAGGACCTCTGGAAGAGCAGCCAGTACTCTTAACCACTGAGCCATCTCTCCAGCCCCATATCTGTGTTTTCTGATGCTCTTAGGGGGCCCCTGTGAAAGGGATGTTTGACCCCCAAAGGGGCTGTGACCCATGGGTTGAGAACCACTGGTTATATCTGGAACGATAGAACTAATTAAAATAACAATATATGAGAGGTCTCTGCATTCCTCAAGAACTTGCCTAATACTAGAGTAGGGAAGTCAGGACTCCACAGTCAAGGCCTCCTTGGATTCTCGCTGTTTGGTACTAAATCATCCGACCATTCACCATGCCCAAGGCTGCAGTTTAACAGTTTGCAGATGGAAACAGCCAGGACAGTCAAGGTAAACTCACGGGGGCTGGAGAGACGGCTCAGCAGGTACGAGTGCTCGCAGGAGTCTGGTTTTCAGCACCCATATCTGGGAGCTCACAAATGCCTCTAACTCCCATCTAGGGAATCTGACACTCTCAGGCTCCCATACATACAAAATGTGTGCATATACATACAAAAATACACATAAACTTTTTAATGTTTTCTAAATAAAATAAGCTAGCATTTGTGATAGTACCTGGTAGTTAAGGCACTTTCACAAGCCAAAATTTTAATTTCTGTGAAAAAAAAAAAATACACTACATTACAGGTGCTTTTTGCTGTCTGTGTTTATAGGTAGCTTCTGGATCCTGTGGTTCTCAGTGGGGACAATACTGACTGACCCCTCTGCTAGTAAATAGGGGAAATTTTTCAGGTTTTTCGAGACAGGGTTTCTCTGTGTAGTTTTGGTGCCTGTCCTGGCTCTTGCTCTGTAACCCAGGCTGGCCTCAAACTCACAGAGATCCACCTGGCTCTGCCTCCCGAGTGCTGGGATTAAAGGCATGTGCCACTACTGCCCGGCTGGTGGAGCTTCTATAAAAGAACCACTATTATACTTACATGAGGCAGGAAATATTTAAAGGAGTCTTGATAGCTACAGTACACAAGAAACCCTTCTTCCATAATCTATGCACATGTCCTAGGATCCATACGGGCTTTAACCACATCACTGAATAAAATATTCATGAGGAAGTAAGTCTCTAGAACCTGTTACACACACACACACACACACACACACACACACACACACACACACACTTTTTAAAAAAGGAACCCTCTCCTCAATTCTAAGGAAACTGGCTACCATCCTTCTAAAGTTCTCACAGAAGTTGGTTGTAATACAACAGTTATGTCTCAGGGCTCAGTTGTCTGGGAGGAAAGACACAGCCTTCTATCTTTAGTGATGGTCTAACTATAGATTCTTTCCAGGGACCAGCACAGGGCCTAATTTAAGCCCACCTGCTAAATAAGAACACGTGAACAGTTGCTGTCTTCAGAAGATCTTCATGGGAGAAATATAAATAATTCAAAGCAGGTTTAAAGTTCTGAGCATTAGCACCCTAGTGTTCAGAGATGCTTTGTATCATCATGACCAATCTGAATGTTCTCTAATGTGTGACACATGTACACACCCAATTTGAGTGCTCTCTAATGTGTGGAATGTGTACAGACCCCATGATCTGTGGGTCTGTCTACCCCCTTGTGTACATACCCCATGATCTGTGGGTCTGTCTACCCCCTTGTGTACATACCCCATGATCTGTG